GCACTCAAGTGTTCAGCCTCTATAAACCAGCCAGAACCAGTCCATGGTCAGTTGTCTTTTTATCAGAAAGGTACTGAAATCAGTCTCTTGTCCAGTCAAGGCTGTAGTTACGGTTGGTGGAATGGGGGTTGCGGGGGGGGGGGGTTGGGGGCAGTTTGTCAGCTTCTGGTGGAAGATAACTGCCAATTGCTTTAATGTGACTTATCTCGAGGTCAGTGCTTGTTTAACGTGAACACTGGTCAGTTGTGTCTAAACTGCCAAAAAGACTGCTCTTAGATCATAATAATGAGGCGTGTCCAATCTCCCATCCCATCATGGCCAGAAACTCCGTTTTTAAGGTTCCCCTGGGGTCCCCTTGGTCAAGAAGGGTATAGTTGGTTGGGGAGGCTTTGTATTTTATTTTTAGTTTACACTGATTAGACACATTTTTATTTTCAGGTCACATTTGGGGGACAGCTATTTCTTGAGAACGTTTTTCAGATGTTATCCATTAGGCAAGAATTGATCATAACTTGAATAGAAATAACCACAGCCATGGCTGGCCTTACCTCTCATCCGATGGTCAACTGACTCATGAAGCAATGAAGTTCTAGACCTTTCCTGGAGCACGGCATTAGAGAAAGCCTCCTCACAAAAAGAAAAGTGAGGGGGCGGGGAGGCCGAGTTTAGGAAAGATTAGCTAGCAAAGCCAAATATGCCCTCTTGTGGCAAAGGAAAAAAGTGTTGTTGTTGTTGTTTTTTCCTGACAGAGCCCTGGATTCAAAACCGGTCCAGGTCCAGTCCTCTCCTCAGTCTCCTGCCTCCTCTTTCCTTTCAACATGATAGATGCCGCTGTGTTCTTTGCCAAGGACTTCCTGGCAGGTGGAGTGGGCACAGCCATCACCAAGACTGTGGTAGTGCCCATCAAGCTGTCAAGCTGCCAGGTGCAGCATGCCAGCAAGCAAATCACTGCAGATAAGCAACACAAAAGCATTATAGACTGCGTGGTCCATATCCCCAAGGAGCAGGGAGTCCTGTCCTTCTGGCATGGTAACCTGGCCAATGTCATCAGATACTTCCACACCCAGGCTCTCAACTTTTCCTTCAAAGATAAATAAAAGCCGAGCTCGGTAGCTCAGCCTGTCATTCCAGCACTTTGGGAGGCCAAGTGGATTGCAGACCAGCTCAAGCAACTTGGCGAGACCTCGTCTCTACAATAAATCAAAAATTAGCTGGGCATAGTAGTGGGCACCTGTAGTTCCAGCTACATGGAAGGCAGAGGTGGAAGGATCGCAGGAGACCAGCAAGTCGACGCCAGGGTAGCCATAAGCGTGCCACTGCACTCCAGCCTGGGCGACGGAGTGAGACTCCAACTCAAAAAATAAAAAAAGATAAATACAAGCAGATCTTCCTGGGTGGTGTGGACAAGAGGACCCAGTTTGGGTGCTACTTTGCAGGGAATCTGGCATCGGGCCACATCCTTGTGTCTTGTGTACCCTCTTGATTTTCCCCTTACCCGTCTGGCAGCGGATGTGGGTAAAGCCGAGCTGAAAGGGATTGCCTGGTTAAGATCTACAAATCTGATGGGATTAAGGGCCTGTGCCAAGGCTTTAACGTGTCTTTGCAGGGTATTATCATCTACCGAACTGCCTACACTGGTACATACGATACTGCAAAAGGAATGCCTCCAGATCCCAAGAATACTCCCATCATCAGCTGAATGATCGCCCAGTCTCTCACTGCTGTTGCTGGGTTGACTTCCTATCCATTTGACTCTGTTCGTGGTGGCATGGTGATGCAATCAGGTCGTAAAGGAACTGACACCATGTATACAAGCACACTGGACAGCTGGAGGAAGATTGCTGGTGACCAAGGAGGCAAAGCTTTTTTCAATGGTGCACGGTCCGACATTCTCAGAGGCATGGGTGGTGCTTTTGTGCATCTTGTACGATAAAATCAAGGACACGTAAGTTGTTTCCCAGTTTTCCCCCTGTGAATACGCATGTTGTATTATGTAACACAGCTTGAGCATACTTGACAGACTCGTGGCTGTCTATCAATGTCATCTATTTACTGGTTGAAAATGGGAAGTAATAATATTCATTTGACCAGATTTCTTTTAAAGTCACTTCCATGATGATGATGGGACTCAATTATGTTTTGTATTTCAGTCAGTCCTGATGAATAACAAATTTAAAGAAATAAAAAGATCAAAAATACCAAAAAAAGGGTTTTTTTTCTTTTGTTTTGTTTTGTTTAGAAAGTAGGCTTTATTGAGAAGACAGAAAAGCTCCCAGAGCAGGAGGGGACCTGAGGGGGTTGCCCTGGTTTTCCTTTATTCTCATTTGTGACTTCACTTCCCCTTTTAATGCTCATGAGAAGAGAGCTTCAAGTTGGCAGAATATCAACTAGTCCTCCTCACACTGCAGGTCTGTGGAGATCTTTGTGTTCTGCTCAAAAGAAGATGCATCAAAGCTGTTGGGAAAGAACAGAGTCACAGCCCTTATCAAAATGGAGCAGGACTTATTTTGGCAAAAGCTCCAACTCTCAGCCAACGATGAAACAAAACTATGTGAATGAAGCCAGGATTATAAGGCTACCAAGGACCTATGTAGTTAAGTCAGGGCAAGAGGCCACCAACAAAGGCAAGTGCTTGTTGCCTTTGCCAACTGTATAAAGAACAGCTGTGCAACATCCCACCTTTAGACTGATGCACCCACTTCTCTTTAGAAAAATCCCCAAAGAAAACTTTGGGATGACAAAGAGAAAAAACAGTCAAGTGAAAAGGTAGATGCCAGAATGCATCCCTTGTTCATTCCTCTGTCTGTTGTCTGATGTATGGGAACTTGACAGACCATGAGTTCTCAAGGGCATCTCTGGGAGCCTCTCATGGCAGAAGCCAAAGCTGGAGTAACCAAGTCACCTGTGGTACCAAAACCATTCTCTGAAAAGCTCTCTTCCACTATTGGTAGAAAACAACAAATAAAAACACCCACTCACTGTCCCTTTCTTTCAGTCCTACCTGGTACGATATCTGTACCTGGTTGGCTAAACCAGTTTACCTTGGAGAAATAAGAAAGAAGGGTCCTTTGGGGGACATGGGGCCAGCAAGAAGGGTGCCACTCAAGATGCACATCCTTTGCATGTAGTCCAACTGTACCCTTTTTTATGGATTCCGTGAACCCTAGCGTTGGTTCTTAGACCTTTCCAGATGTTACTTGTACATCTAGCTTCATTGAACTAAAATTGTTTTTCAGACATTTTGTTAGTCCACATATATTTATTGACTTACCATATTCCAGACTGTGTTAGATTCTGGTTATACAGAAATTAGTAAGATATATCCTCTGCCCTCATGATCACAAAGTAGTAGGAGATCACACTGAGCCTCAAATCTGTTTTGGGAGCCCTCTTGTGTGACCTATCTCTGCTGACTTTGGTTGTCCCATCTGTTCAGGGGAGGGAGTTGGATGGACAGTCTTGAATCCATCTGTGATCCTGCCTGCAGCTGGCCACACCCTGCAGATGGAGCTAATCACAGCCTAGTTTCCACTCAGCCCCCACATTAGTGGAGAACATTCAAAGCTAGTGTCTGCCAACTATCCCCCTGCCCTCCTTAGGCTGGGGACCATTCTCTCTTCCCCATGGAAAAGGAACAAACATTCATGAGCAGTATCAGTGAGGTTAAGAGGAGGATGAAGGAAGAGGAGATGAGAAAGAAAAGCATAATCCTGCCAAGAAAGAAAGGCAAGAATAGGATGGCTATTAAAGAAAAGAGAAAAGAACATACCACACACATTCCTTCAGGCCTGTGAGGCTTAATTAGTTTTATTGAAAACTTAAGACCCTTCAAAAGTTACAAAGTAGTATTATTCTGCCTGCATATATTATTCAATACCAAATACTGTGCTGTTATTGCAGCTAAAGTAACTGTATCAGAAAAACATCAATTGTCACATCTTTCCTCAGAAAGTGTCATAAAGAAACATCATGCAAGAAAAGCAGATGAAAATAGGCTTCCCAACATATGGAGCAAAGCAAGTATATTAAGAATATGGACATATATAACTAAGAAACAGAATAAGTCCCTGAGCTGAGCTTTCATCTGAAAACATTTGCATCACATTTCATTTCAGTGAAAATGAACTAGGACACTTCTCATGGGCAAAAACCATGGGGTTCTGGCTTCACATGGACGTCAACACTGAGCCACAGCAGCTAGTTGAGAGGGTGCATCAGTCTCAGGAAAAATAGTGTCATCATCTTTCCACAGGACTTTTCTTCTCAGACAAGTACAATTATGGCTTGCCATGGAATCTGAAGTTCATAAAAATAGATGGTTAAGTGTATCAGTCTCCGAGCTATTTAAAAATAAGTTTTAAGGAAAAAAAACAGTGCAATTTGTTTTTAAAGAGTTCAGAAAATTATTTTGCTTGGTCTGAGCAATTTAAACATGTGCTAAATAATAGCTGTCACAGTTAGGTTTGATAAAATGCATTGTGGAATCTGTACTACTGGCACAGCTAGGATGTTACAAGATTTGAGTATGCACTTACTGCATGAAAACATGAAAAAAGGTACTTTAAATCCCTACATATAAGACCACTCAACTGGAGATCCCTGTAAGGCAAGGAGATGAGAAGTGGGTACTTTTATACTGAGCTCATGTCCGTGACAGATTTACCAATGAGCAACTCAGTTTAAAAAGCTCAGTCTGTAATCCCACACCTTTGGGAGGCTGAGGTGAGTGGACTGCCTGAGCCCGCAGGTTTGAGACCCGCCTGGGCAACTTGGCGAGACCCCATCTCTACAATAAATCAAAAAATTATTAGCTGGGCGTGGTAGCATGCGCCTGTAGTTCCAGCTACTTGGAAGGCTGAGGCAGAAGGATCGCTGGAGCCCAGCAGGTCGAGGCTGCGGTGGCTGGGAGCGGCCACTGCACTCCAGTCTGGGCGACAGAGTGAGACTCCAACTCAAAAAAAAAAAAAAAATTCCAACACATATTAATTTGTCCTCTGTGGGGGTAAAAAGTCAAGATAGTATATTTTAAATTGTAAGGATAAACAGAATGGCTATAATGACCTTTTCACATGCTAGTGATATTTTTTTAAGACTTAAAGAGATAACACTATGGTTGAGATACTAGTTTCATATTCAGTCATAATTTTAAAATAGCTAGTGTGTTTCTCATTGTAACTAGAGAGAATTGGGCATCTTCAAAGTCATAGTTTTCTTGGATATAAAAATACAAAAGACCTGGGAAAGAAAAACATGTATTTTACAGAAATTAAGCAAACACATTTTCATATGACTTAATCACTGACTTCATGGTACATTTCTCAAGTTTGGCTTTCACTGGTATTTCCTCATTAGATCAATAATTTCATTATACAGTCGCCATGGGGCATCGATGCCCCAGATAAAGTCAAGATGCTCCCACTCTGGAATGTTCTTGTGGTACACCAAGTTGGTAATCTGAGTCAGTAAGATATTCATGTCGGTGACGTCTGCGAGCCAGTCCTGACCACCACTCCAGACTGCAGTGGGCACAAGCATGTCTTTCACATTGTATGCGGGAGGGTAACTCTACAAGAAAAAGGAGCCACAGAAAGCTTTGTTGTTTTAACTTTCAAGATCACAACACTATCTCCATTAAACACTGCTAGTAAATTTGATAGCAGAGACTACATTTTGAAAATCCCTTTCAGTATACTTTTTGAGTTAGCACTACTAGCACAAAAAGGAACTCTAGTTGAAAATGAAAGAAAATTAACCATAGTCACTGCTAGCTATGGAGCTGCTACCCTATGCTAGGCACCGTAGTAAGTATTTAAACCCTGGTGAGGAAGGCGTTGGTCTCCCAAGGTAGCAGAAGTAAAGCAGTAGAGCCAAGTGTTTGGGAAGGGGCATACCCTCCTACATATTCTCTTTGGGTAAGAGACAGCTCACAGAATTTGCTTTTGTTTTTTTAAGGAAAGAGACAAGGTCTTGCTCTGTTGCCCAGACTAGAGTGCAGTGCCGTGATCATAGTTCATTGCAGCCTCGAACTCCTAGGCTCAAGTGATCCTCCCACCCCAGCCTTCAGTATAGCTGGGACTACGAAAGCATGTCTGGCTACAGTCATAAAACTATTCTCTCGGCTGAGCACTCTGGGAGGCTAAGGTGAAAGGACTGCCTGTGCCCATGGGTTCGAGAACAGCCTGGACAATTTGACATAGATCTCAACTCTACAATAAATCAAGAAAAACTAGCCGGGCATGGTGACACATGTCTGTAGTTCCAGCTACCTGGAAGGCTGAGAAAGAAGGATCACCTGAACCCAGCAGGTCGAGGTTACTGTGACTATAAGTTTGTCACTGCCCTCCAGCCTGGGTGGCAGAGTAAGACTCCAACTGAAAACAATAACAACAACAACAACAACAACAAACTATTCTCTTAGCCTCAGTTTCTTCTTTTTAAGTCAGAGATAATCAAATTTATGTCATAGGCACATTCTGAGAACTAAATAAGAAAATATAGGCAAAGTGTCTCACACTTTAGTACATTTAGTGCTCAGAAAAATGCTAATTTGATATATACAGGGAGGAAGGGGCTTATGTAATCTGGCCAAGACCCTACAGCTACCAGGTAACAGACCTAGGATCAGCTCACTCTAAAGCCTGTGTTCATGACCACTCTGAATAACGCATGATAGTGACAGTTCTCATCTAGAGTCAGGGGAAGGTCAAAGTGAGGCAGCCCAGCCCACAACATAACTAACTGTAAAACTTGGGTTGTTCTAGAATGGACTGAGAGAAAACAAACAACGTCTAGTCAAGTCTCCCAAACACTTCCCATAGCACCTGAGCCAGACCAGAATCCTGACAGGTTAGGCTTGCCGCCTTGAGGAAGCTCTCAGAGCCCTAGTTAATAAAAACACTGAAAATTTTACCTGGTTGTAATGGAAATAATTCTTGGCACTGCTTCCCCAGTCAAAGGCTTGAAGTTTTTGGAATTTAAAAGTCTAAAAAGAAGATAATGTGAGAAAAAAGTTATCTAACACCCAAGTTTGAGATACCATCATGGTTTGCTGAAGATGTTCACATTCTTAGAAATCAATGTTATACTAATATCCAGATTTATGGATGTTATACTAACATCCATTTCGAAACTATTATTTACAATAAAATGGCATTGTTTTGTTCTTTTTCACCGCATGATCCAATTTCTCATTGTACAATTGTTAAGTAGCTACCATCTGACACAACAAAGTAGCCACACACATAGGCTTTGAATTATTCTAGATCAACAGAAGCTCCTGTTAGATAAACTTTCCACTGACGTTTTCCACTGAAATTTGCATCTTAAACCTTTTCAAAGGGGAAACCATTTTACTTGGGAGATACACACACATACACACACACACACACACACACACACACACACACACACACACAACACATACACACACATACATATATATATAACTATAATATATAATCGTTCCTCCATATTGATGGGTTCCATATCTGTGGGTTTTGCAGCTGTAGAGTCAACCAACCTTAGATTGAAACTATGGGGGGGAAAAAACAATAAAAGTTAACAGTACAATAAAAAGAATACAAATTTTAAAATACAGGTTAACAAGTATATATGGAGACTCAGAAAGGGGAATGGGTGGAAGGATGAAAAATCACCTCCCGGGTACATTGTGCACAGATAGGGATGGTGGGGACACTTAAAGCCCAGATCAGAAACTATCTACACACCCTAAAGTTATCGAAATAAAGAAAAGAAACAAATATTTACATAGCATTTGCACTGTACTAGGTATTATAAATAATCTAGAGATGATTTCAAGTGCAAGTATACAGCTGGATATGCATAGGTTATAAGCAAATGTAACACCATTTTATATAATGAGCATCTGTGGGTTTTGGCAGTGGGGAGGCGTGCCGGAAGCAATCCTCCAAGGATGACTGCATGATATTTTCTATTTATCCATCCTACTTGTCTAGTTATAGTGTATATATTTTAATAATTTTACTGAGTTACACTTTTTGAGTACTGATGCCTATATAATCACCAAACTGTACTACTGCATGCCAGCAGAACTCTAACTAGTTGGAGACACTAGAGTCGTGAAATCATACTACACAGGAAATTTAAACATATACATATTTTAAAGAGCAATGATATGAGGGTATTCACAAAGTCATTTATTTGTAAAGTTAGAAATAATGCAAATCCATATTTCCTCTACATTTCCAAATCAAATGTGCCCAGAATTAAACTCAAAACTGGCAAGCCAAATAAATTGGAAACTTTAAGCTTTGGCCACAGGGTGGCACCTGGTAAAAAGAAGTACTCAGACACTCTTTGTCAAAATTGCTTTCGATTTAGTTGAAGTTTTGGTTTTTTGGCAATTGCATAAAATTCTACAGTTTTCTGTAATAAAAGACAGTATGAGATTAGATAGTGCAGGAAATTGCCACAGGAGAAATGTTTAGCATCTGCTTTTGCCACTGCAAATGACAGATGTTAAATACCTGTGGCATATTTAGCAGGCAGAGCAAAATATAGATTTACAGCACTTGTTGGCACATCTGCTTCCCAGCTCTAATTGTCAGTGACAATATATTAATACAAACCATTCTGCCTCTGCATGCAGACATCAGTTCATCACTTTGTCACATGTCTTCCAGCATTCCTCACATAAAGCACCAGAGTGAGGATAGAATACAAAGGAAAAACCTGCCTCTAGCTCAGACTGAATTCCAAACTTGACTTTGGTGCTCAGAGTCACTTTGGACTTTAAACTATCCACTTGAAAGGGCATTTCAAAAGACGAGAAATGTGGCCGGACGCGGTGGCTCATGCCTATAATCTCAGCACTTTGGGAGGCCAAGGTAAGAGCTGACAGGCTCAAGACTAGCCTGGGCAACTTGGCAAGATCTCATCTCTACAATAAATCAAAAAATTAGCCAGGCATGGTGTAGTTCCGCTGCTTGGATGGCTGAGGCGGAAGGATCACCTAAGCCCATAAGGTGGAGGCTGCAGTAGCCGTGAACGTGTTACTGCATTCTAGCCTGGGCGACAGAGTGAGACTCCGTCTCTCCCCACCCAAAAAAGATGAGAAATGTGAAGTTTATTTATAGTAACAAAAACCTGGAAATAAACTAAAGTTTAATAACAGATATTTATGCAAATAGATTATGTTACATCAGTATATGCAGTCAGTATGCTATTTTCATAAATATAATAAAAACAGAAAACTGTTGACAAATAATTTTCATAAATAATACTATGTGGGAAAAGTCAAAAAAAGAAATTGAATGAATATTCACTAAGGTTATACTTCTATGATAATCACATGTAAATAAAGATCAGGAGGAAATACTCATGGTATTAGGACAGTTTTAAAGGACTATTTTTAAAAATTATTTTTAGGTCTTGATTGGTAATGAAAATGTCAATAGGTTCGGCTTTTCTAAAGTACAATGTGTATCAAAAGTCTTAAAGATATTTCTATCTTCACACCACTAAGTGTACTCCCAAGACTGTATTATCCTAAGAAAATATCTTCCTAATGTATAAAATACAAGAATATTTAAAATACAAGAAAATTTAGCTAAAATACAAGAATATTCATCCCAGGATGGTTTATAATATCTAAAATACAAGAATATTTATCCCAGGATGGTTTACAATTGCAAAAATATCGCCATCATAAAAAAATTAATAATAAAATTCAAGTAATGGAAAACTGTCCTTTGTTACAAATATTTTTAAATGTTAGTTACTGCCCTGGAAAGGCATTTTTTTTTATTATGGCAGAAACTAACTAACCCCCAAGGGCCTAATCTTGCCTTCTCCCTTTCAGTAATATAATCCCTAAAGCTTTTGCTAAGCACATGGCTGCCAGGAGAGAAACCACATCCTCATCTTCCTGTGGGCAGCTAGGCTGTGGCTATACCACTCACTTCTGAGCTATCTCCTTGCAAAGCCACTAGCCTTGAACTTGCTCTCTCCTACCTTTCTGTGGGGTGCAAGAGACATGGAGGTGATCCAGCTTCAACCAGGCAGAAAAGGACAGCACCCCAAGGATGGCAGAGCTACCGCATGGAGGGAACTGGGTCCCTGCATGACCTCACGGAGCAAAGCCACATTCCCCTCTACCACCAGCCTGGGCAACTGATCTCTGAACTGTATTATAAGAAACAAACTATTGGTTTAGTGGCTGTATTTTGAGGTCTCTGATATAGCAACTTAGCCTGTATCTAACAAATACAATATTACTTCATTAAACAAAAATTTATTAAAACGGAGCACGTAGTATAACCCTACTTTTGTAATGAAAATCATTATATCACAAAATTGTAAGATTATACCAAAATATTTATAGTGGTTATTGCTGGGTACTAGACATACAAGTGATTTTTCTTTCACTCATGTATTTTTTAATATTTCATAAAACATATTACATGTATAATAAAAATTATGCTGAAAGTCCCTTTTATAGTATTTTAAAGAGATACCAAAAATATGTTTTGTTTTGTTTTTTAAAAAAGCAAGAGGTTTCAAACAATAGAGGACATCAGAATTATCTAAGGTACTTATTGAAATGCAACCCGGGTACACACTCCCAAGAATTCAAATTCTCAACAGGTCTTCAATAGGCCCAAGAAGACTCTTTTTACTAGCATCTTAGATAGTTAGGACCAACTCTGTAAACATATGTTTAGATCAGCTTTCTTCAAACACAGGTGAATGCCTGGGTCGTGAGCAGGGCTAGAAAGAAGATGAGAGATAATAACAAGAGTCTTCGCTCTGGGGAGCTCTGAAATTCATCAGGTTTATAAAGAGAATAGGAAGAACAGTATACTAAATTTAAAAGCCTACTAAAGAACTAGGTTTTGGGATTATGAGCAAGTGAGTGATAATTACCTAAACACAAAGTAAATTTCTGAATACACTGTGAATAAAATGGCCTCTAAGAGCACCCCCAAACTCAAACCATGGGAGTCTTTAAACACCACACCTGATGAATTAGAGCCTCAGCCCACGGGCATCCAGACCTGCCACCTTCCACAGAAGCCTCTCACCAGGCCTGTCTCTTGGAGCCTGCAGCCTGCACCAGAGAGTGGCAGCCCCTGGCCAACAGCCCAGAAGAGGGAGAGCCAAGGGAAAGATCCTAGAAAGATCCACAAAGCAACCATTTTATTAACCAACAGTGGCATGGTTGGCAGAAGGCAAAGGCCCAGACTGCCTTCTGCAGCAAATCCAGGCTTTGCAAATAATCAAGAGGCACATCCCAGAGTTGTCGGAACCGAAAGCCACCAGGTCACAACTGGGCCAGAGAGCAGTGCTCTGGACCTCAGCCTGTAGCCTTCAACCCCAGACGGCTGCTCAATGGTAGGAACTGGAACAAGAGAGCAGCCTGGATGGCAGCCGATCCAGTGGCTTGACTGTAGACCCCATGCCCAGTGGAGGCCCAAGACACAGAAGGATGAAACAATATCAGCCTGTAATATAAAATATTCAAGTAGTCTTAGGATATAGCTTTGGTTTCCACATTCATGATAGGTTTGGGGTTCATGATAGGCTGGGTCTGGTGGTCACTGGAACTTGGTGAACCACACATGGGCTCCTAGAGGTCACTAAGCTGGTGCACAGCTCAGCATCTGTCTCTAGTCCAGCTCAGTCACCCCCCACACATCTCTAGTCCATGAAGTGACAGAAATAGGGTCTTTTGGGGGAAAAGTCCATGAAGTAAGAGGTTCTATACATATTCAAAAATGTAGGGGAATTTTGGTGACAGGGAATAGGAAAAAAACCAAGTGACTATAAACAGAAATGTGGCCGAGGAGAAAAGCAGAGACCTGAACCAGAAGCATTTGTGAATCTGAGGATCTTTGAGGGCTTCAGGGCATTCCTTAAGCATGGGCTGTTCAGCATGGCATGAGCTACTTGCATTCCAGATGCCCCTTTTCTAAGCCACAGCAAACATGTCACTGAGGGACTGCACTGAACACTCAGTCTTCCAGTCACTACAATGAGCCAAGAGTCTCAGTTCAGTCTTTCTCCAGTTCCTTAGAGATGAGCCCCAGGGAGAGGCAAATGCCTGCACTCCTGGCAGATCGAGATCTGAGGGCAACTGAAGAAAGAAACTAAAGCATCAGAATGTCCCAGATGTCAGTGATTCCCAAACCTGGTTGGGCAGAAGAATCCACCAGGCAGGTGTTTTAAAACACAGATCCTTAGGAGTAAAAAAAGGATAAACTACCGATATATACAACAGGGATGAGTCTCAAAATACTTATGCTGAGTGTAAGAAGCCAGATGAAAACAAACATATACTATATGATTGTACTTATAAAAACTCTAGAAAATGCCAAATGACCTACAGTGGCAGAAAGCCTATTAGTGGCTGCTTGGGGATGGGGGTAGGGGTGGGGAGGAAAGTGTCACAAAGGGGCAGGTTAGCCCTAATTTATCCATTTATGTTCCACAAGTATTTGGGGTTGATGACACATTTGCTATCTTGATTGTTGTGACAAACATCAAAATACATCAATGTGCACACTTTAACTACTATAAGTCATCTATACTTCAGTAAAGTTGTTTGGAAAAAAAGTAATAAAAGTACAGATTCTCCAGTTCAAATGACTGGGATGCAGGAATTCTTTTGCTTTTAAAAGACCAGATGGTAGCAGTTCCAACAGTCCTCCTAGAAATGCAACTCCCATTACTTCTTTTTTATTGTTGCTGCTGCTGCTGTTGTTCAAAACATGTACTTTATTTTCCTTTAATTTTATATTTATGCTTTTTGTCACTATCCAGCTTTTTTTTTTAAGCCTGAGCTATATTGTGGTTTTAACCCCAATATGATAATCATCCCCACAGTCTTAGAATTTCTTTCCCCTCATCACTTTGCCTTTTTGTGTGTTCTATATAAAATGAGGAACTGGGAGAGCAACACTTCCTGTAAACACAAAAGGATGTGAGTAGTGCCCAAACCAGCAGGGCTAGGCAGGTACAACCAGTTTCAACAGTAGATATGCTGTGATTTATGGGACTAAGGTATAGTTGTATGCATGTCATACTGATTTGCCATTAGAATAAGGATCATATAAGTTGACCAGGGTGAGGAAGGACTAGCCACACAAGACTGTGGGAATTACAGCAGGGGAGGAAGTATACCATTTTCATGGATAGAACACCTAGCTAATGGCTTTTCTGAAACTGTCTTAAAAGACAAAGATTTGGGGGTTTTGGTGGTTTTTTTCTTTAACTTAAAAAGATTCAAGTCACTAATATTAGTTCTTCTGGTTGAAAATAAAAGCAATTGGCTGTGGTGATATAGAGAAGATAGCTGAGCTGCACCAGGATACTTAAGACTTTAAAATTAAATTCCGAGTTACCTTTTAAAAAATATATGTCAATATACTAAGTACTCAACAAAGATCCAGATTGTGGGATATTTAAAAATATGTTTCTCTTGGGTCAGCACCAAAAAAATACCAGTTTCTGTACAACCCATGTCAAGTTTTTAAGCACAGACAAGTTAAAATTATTTCTTATAAAAACCAAAACTCCACAGAAATCACTAAAGATATATTTAAACAACTTTCAAATACATTTTGACATCAAGGTGAGGCAGTTCAGATCAGAAGAACATTATAATGAGTATCACTGAATTTCTGTAGTAAGATGTTTCATGGCAACTTTGTATAATGGGAATATTTTACATCTCACACAAAGGAGGCACTGATACTTCTAACGGTAAGAAAATTACTAGCACTGTTAAGACTGAGGTGAAGAATTTGTACAGCCTTCCACAAGTTCAAAGAGGTAGTGGTAGATACTTGTCCTCCTGGCCATGTCAAATGAAGTTTCTTCCAGGTTGTTTTCAGATCTGGTTGGATATAATGGTTCATCAGGAGTTCTAGGGTGTCTTTGCTGTCCCTGCTCCCAGTGGCAAAGTGTGAGGGGGTCAGGAGGCCCTTCACTGGGGCGTTGATATCTGCATTGTGCTGAAGAAAGAAAGAAGTCACTCTGGAATGATTCCACTTATAAGCACTGTGCAGGGATGTCCAGTCATCCACAGTCACTGCATGGACAACTGCCCCTTGTGCAACCAGCTCATGAACAATGTCTAAGTGTCCACTGTAGGCTGCTGGGTGAAGAGGGATATACATATTCTCATCCCTGGTGTTCACCTGAGTGGCCTTTTCAGAAAGTAGTCTCCACACTGTAGTAAGCCGATTTTTTTCAGCAGCCCGCAGAAGCAATTTACTTGGGACTTTTTCCATTTTTTTTTCTTGGAACTGGTACCACTCTTCGTTTTTTTCTTCTTGATCCTCATCTTCATAAGAACTGCCTATCCAGAGACTTTGAGAACCAGTGGGAATAAGATGGCCATGTGTTTCCAACAATTCAAGTTGGTTAAAGTGTTCAGAAAAGTCCAAGGAATTCTCTTGGTCTAGTTTCCATCATCTTTGTCTTTTTCCACTTTTATTACTATTCTAAATAAAAAGCATTTCAAATGCCAGGGTATAAATAGTCTTTCTAGAAATGAATTATGTCTGCTTTATTTTATTTATCAAGATATTCTGACTTTACGGATCCAGATGCAATAAAGGACAGATGAAATTTTCACGGTCTATTTAACTTAAAAAGCCAAACCTTGGTGCATCTACCCAACTCAGAGTTTTAGAAAAGAAACTGGCCTAGGCTCTTCCTGAGGAGTAAGGGGTGCGTTTCCAGACTCGGGGCACCCTCGGTGGGCTGCGCGCCCACAAGAGCAGGTGCCCAGGCTCAAACGCGTGATCCCAGTGGGTCCCATGCAGGAAGGCCTGGAAGGACCCGACAGTCCCCAGACCTTACTGCTCTTGGCATGGGCGATTCGCATCTGCTGTACGACATGGGTTGTACAGAAACTGATAGTTTTTGGTGCTGAGAAACATATTTTTAAATATCCCACAGTCTGGATCTTTGTTGAGTGCTTAGTATACTGACATATATTTTTAAAAGGTAACTCGGAATTTAATTTTAAAGTCTTAAGTATCCTGGTGCAGCTCAGCTATCTTCTCTATATCACCACAGCCAATTGCTTTCATTTTCAATCAGAAGAACTAATATTAGTGACCGAGCAATGAATGGGAAGGGGGCGAGCAGGCGGGAGCCTGGAGTGCTGGGAGCCCCGCGGGGGGCGGAGAAGCCCGGGAACTGCCCCCAGGAAGGGAACCCCATTACTTCTTTAAAGCCGTGTTTTATTCAAAACTATACTTTGAAAAGCAATTCAGTGATTCTGCTGCAAGCATTGACTACCCAGTGTTTGGAAATTACAATGCGAGGCACCTACGGGATTTGGGCTTAGAGATAAAACAGTAAGACATTTCATATTTTACAGAAAATTAGTTGGGGGGGGAAGGTGCAAAAACGTGTCCTGAGGTAGAAATAAGTCTCTGGCATTGTTAGATAGGAAAATAAAAGCAAGTTGTGAATTAGTAAGTAGAAGAAAATTAAATAATCCATTTCTACATCTGCTATTTCTTTCTAAATCTGTAACAGCTTCTTGGGAAATGATATGCAGCAAGAGGGACAGAATCAAATGTAAAGACAGTCAATCTCTACATTTACATATCTACATTTATATCATATCAGTATATCTATATTTCCTATCTCTTGTGAAGGGGTTATAGAATGATTTGATCTTCATTTTAAGAGAATGTTTATTATTTTTTGCCTCTGTGTGATTTGTAAATTCTCTAGAATGCATGTGCATTATTTATATGATAAAAGGATCAGAAGTATATTTTAAAAGATGTGGGTCCCATTCATGTCCATGATTGGTTTAACTCTGACTTATCCACTGATGTTTTAAGCATATTGTATTCAAGGTCAATGCCAAAATAGAAGCTTCTGTCTCCAAAGTTGCTCTAAAATAATGCTTTATGAAGCAACATAGAAATAAAATAAATCTAAGGCTCAATGAAAAACAGATGGAGAGGAGGAAAGGGAAGAGGGGAAGAAAGAGAGGGAGGGAAGGAGGGACTATAAAATCTGAGGCTCAAAGAGGAGGGAAAAGAAAAAGTTCAGCCCCAATAGCTGTTCGGTGAACCCCTGGATAATGTAGTATGCCCCACAGAGAATAATAAAAGCAATATAAGCATGATGACAAAAACCCAGGACTCTAGGGAAGACAACTAGATCAGATCTGTAAGCAGGTCATCTTTCGATCTGACAAGAGTTTGCAGAGAGGTGCTTCATAAATCTTTCCATCACTGACTTTACACGAACCCCAGTTGCACTCCCGAATGCTTACCTGGCTCCAATGTAGCATGTTTTGCACAGAAGTTCCAGCAGGAGAATGTGTTGTATACACATCGACTCTAGACTGTAAATAAACATATTCAAATAAAGAATGAACAAAGCATCCAGGTGGCATTGATAAGAAACGTTGTTCTTTGCTCTCCAAACCATTAAAAGTTATAGAACCGTAATCTCAAAGATATGAGATCAAGGGTAGAAAAAAATTATTTGATTATAAGTACATCTTATAAAAACACGTACAACCACACACATCAAATACATCACATGTCACACATCGCATATGAAGGAAATGCAACAATGTGGTGAGCATGAGGCTGTATAAGTGGAGACTACAGATTTTTATTTTCTTCTTCAGGCCTCTCTGAATTTCCAAAATTGTATATAGCAATAACAAAAAAAAGAAAAATATCACTTAAAAAAATCTTTAAAGCCTTCATTCCAGAATTTTAAAACCTGTTTTCAAAATGCAACATTACAAACTACAAACACATTTAGAAACACACCCAGCATAGTGCTCGCCAAAGGTTTATATTTTATAAAATATATATAGATATATAGATATGTGCATGTAAATGAGCATTCCAAATGTAAACACACTTATAGTGATTTTTTTAACGAAATAAATCCCTAGAATAAAAGTAAATATTATGACTTCAATTGTGGCAGATCTCCTCACTCAACATAGTTGCAATGTGGGAGCTGCCAGCAGCCAGCCTAAGAGGAGCAGATGGTAGAGTATTCTAGGCATTTGCCAAAGTCGATTCTGTGCCTCTTAATTGAACACCCCTTTAGACTCTGGTGAGGTCATTCTGACTTCTCCCACCTCATTCAACAGAAATACACACACTCTCATAAAATAAAATCAAGTCATATAAACATACTTACCATATTTAAATTTTTCTCATTAAATCCACACAGAACGAAAAACATATTTCCACAAAGCTCCTTCAGAATCACATGCGTGCAGATGTGGGTAGCCAGCCACTTCAGAAATGCACTCTGGGGGAGAAATTCTTTGTCCCCAAATAAGTCCTACAAAATAAAAAGAAACCCCAAAAACATCTCAGCATCTCATTCTGGTGCACAGGCCTCCAAGACCCACCTCAGTAGCAGAGACACGTCCCACGTGTCTCCACGCATGGCCTCTGGAGAGAAAAGGTGGCCAGTGGACATTTGAACTGGGATATTTACACAGTAAGTTTACTAAGGCAAAAATCACACATGACTGGTATATACTCAAATTCTCAAAATGAAGAGAAGGCAGAAAAACAAATAAGTTTACAGTGGACTTCTACAATGCTAAAGGGCCTTAAATATCACCCATCCCAGCCATCCCCAAATACATTTCACCTGACTGTGACAGGTTGGTGGTACCTTCTGAGAACAGTCGGGGCATGATTGATCAGCAGTGTCTGCTAGGGTTGCATACATCTAATTTGATTCTACTGGACAGTGGACCAAATCCAGCCTGTTGTTGGCTTTGTTGTTGTTATTGTAGAGCATACATAACATAAAATTTATCATTTTAATCATTTTTAGGTGTTCACTTCAGTGGCATTAAGTGCATTCACATTGTTGTGTAACTATCACCACTATCTTCAGAACTTATTCATCTTCCTAAACTAAAACTCTGTATGCATTAAATAACAACTCCCATCTCCCCTGCCCCAGATCTGTTTGTTTTTATAAATAAAGTTTTATTGGAATACCATGCACTCATCTCTTTACATATTGTCTCTGACTGATTTCATGCTACAACAGCAGAGTGGTTTAGTTAACGTGGTGACCAGTATCTAAAGACCAATACCAGGTCTCTTTGAATGTTCCTCTTCTCCAGACTAACCACACTAGCTGGGAAGAACCAGTTAGTAAATGCCAGATGTAAAGAAAGGTCCTGTAACATTAGAAGACATCATGTTTAAAACTCCTGGCTGTCAGCCTATATACTGGTCTCATGTGACAACTGCACATCTTTTCTAAGTTCTCTACTAAAAACAAGTTAACAGGATGATATACCACCGACCTAAATCACAATAAACCAAGCTACAAGCTTTCCCTTTAAGAATGTGAAGCTGACCTTTATTTCAAAACTACTACCCAAACATTACTGCAGCAAACTCCACTGAAAATTACATCAATGTAGGACAGTACATACAGTTAAAGAAAAATGTACCTACATTTATAGGCCTGTTCATATCTACTTTGACATCATCATAGTTTATAGGTTTGTGTTTTGAAAAAGATTACAAGGGATACTTCACCTTCACAGAAGCAACATATATTTTTCAGAGCAGCTAATTCAAAGGTTTTATAAATACTCATTCAATTGTATTTTTCTCTACCAGTATATTATAAAGTACCAATGTCTGGAGCAGTGGTCTACAAATGCCAGACTGCTAAGCTGACATCAGAAATCACAGAGTGTTTTCTAAAAACACAGACCACTAGCCCAGATTTTACAAACACAGTCTCCAAGGTGGAGTAGGGGGCAGAGAAGGGGAGCAAGGGTTTGTGTTTTTACAAAACTACTAAATTTGTCCAGGTGCAGTGGCTTAACCCTGTAATCCCAGCACTTTGAGAGGCCAAGGTGAGGGGATTGCCAGAGCCCATGGGTTCGAGAACAGCCTGGGCAGCTTGGCAAGACCTCATCTCTACAATAAGTCAAAAAACTATCCAGGCATGGTAGCAGGCTCCTATAGTTCTGGCTACTTGGAAGGCTGAGGCGGAAGGATCATCTGAGCCTAGTAGGTTGATGCTGGGGTGGCCATGAGCGTACCATTGCACTTTAGCCTGGGCGACAGAGTAAGACTGACTCAAAAACAAACTACTAAATTGTAATCTTCAAGCATTACATTAAAAACACACACTCCTTTATTTCTTCATATCCAGTCCATGAATATAATACCCCAAAGGGGTGAAAAAACGCAGCAACAGTAAATTGGCAACAACCTGAATGCCTGCCATAGGAGTCTGGCTAAATAAATAGTAGTTCTTTATAATCAAAAACTCACTGTGCCGCAGTTAAGAATTTGATTAAACTAGAGTTTGACATATTAACTTAATAGCTCTCCGAGAGTGAAAAATGTAATCTGTAGAACAATATGTATAGTTGGATACCATCTACATTTAAACACAATATATTTCTCATGGTACATCTATATGTATATAAATTGACACACAAGGTCTATAGGAAAAGACCCCAAACTGATCACTGTGCTTAATTCTAAGAAGGGCACTAGAAGAAGGCTTGGTAGTTGAGGAGTGCTTTATTTGTAATCTGAGAACTGTTTAAAATGGAAACTGATGCTTCCATCTACCCAAGGCGGTAAAAATAAACTTGGTCAGAGGGGGCTATAGGTTATCTGCATGTTCTAGTATTGATGCAATAAATCCATATTATGTGAGAATCAGACTTTGAGATCAGAGTATAACCCATATTTCTTGTGAAAGTCTTTTAAACAGTCCATGAGATACATTATACCTGTATACATTTCTGCATGGGGTTTCATATGTGTGTGTATGTGTGTTTGTGTATGCATGTAAATGTATTATATGTAACATATATAATGCATGCATACTAGACCATCTGGTCTCAGCTGGCTTAAAACTCATGAAAGCTATCTCCTTGAACAGAAGCTGGGGTCACATAGCTTTAGGGCTGAACCCCAATGAAGTTACTGGCTTGTGTTTCGGAGCCATATTATAAAACATAATATTGACAGTGTCTTTAGATCACCCTCAATGTGGCTAGGGTTGGGTATGTGGGAACGGCACATTTCTTGTCTCCCATCCCCTCTGCCTCGTCCTGCGCACTGGTTCACCTAGAGAAATAAGGGCAATGCCATGAATGTCCACATTATTTTCCCAAAGGCTTTCTTGTGCTCTTTGTGTGGTGGGCAGAGCTGCATTAACCCAAGTACACGGGGCCCCAGTGTACAGTGAATGACAGACTCCCCTGACACCCTTTGAGTGAAGGGGGAAAGAAATCCCCACTGCTCCATGGATAGTAAAACGCAGAGGAAGAAGGCACAAATTCTCCCTCCAAGGGTCGATTCTTCAGATCTGAGGAGGAAATTTGTGGGGAGGGGAGAGGGAGGGGGAGGATCCAAGTACCTTAATGAGAAGATCTGGAAATCGTCCTAATTTGGCTAGAGGACTGGTACAGAACTCGATCGAGGCCACAGGAGCCAGGGCAAAAAACATTTTAATCCTTTTAGCCAGCTCAGGGATCTGTGAAAATGCTATAAAACCTGTGAGAATAAAAAGAAGATCACAGGAATGCCATCTTCTGGGATGTCCTTCCTGCTGGTGACGCCATCTAGCACGGCCTGAGAGACACGCAAGTGACACCGCCTGCACGAGGCAAAACACTTGAAATGGGGCCCCTGAACTGAGTGCGCCAACACTGAATTTGATTCAACTAGTAAATCAAGTATCTGTTAAGTGCTTATTCCAAATCTAAGCCTAGATATGCACTGGAAGAAATCTAGACTGGGAAAAAAATCAGAAAAAATTCTTCCCTATTCCTTGAACAGTGTGAGCCACACCAGTCTGAATATTTCTAAGCCCTCCAACCCTCACCTTCAATCCCCGCTACCCCTCTCTCCAAGAACATTTTCACAGCCCGTTCCAACAAACCAACAAAGTCCCCAAAGGAGCTCAATTCAAATCCCCTAGTTTTAAAGTGTCATTTAACCCTCTCTGAGGTCACTTCTTGTCACCTGACCCCAGAATGTCTAGAAAGCAGTGTGGTAAAGGACTCAAGTAGACAAGTCAGAAAAGAAGGAATATAAATGACGAAAAATACTTGACTCCATTTTCTCACGGACAAGGCATTTTAACCATTTATACTGAGACCCCGAAAGCATTCATACCTATCCTACAGTAAGCCTCCCAGGAATGTAGTCTAAGGAGGTCATGTGACATGAACACAAAGGTGTCAGTCATACATAGCACTAAAAGGAAGAATTAAATAAATTATAAGACAGGATCCTTGCCCCAACTAGAGAAACTCTTGCTTGCAATTTTTGTTTTCTTTAAACTTTGGTAAATTTTTTTTTCTTTACAATGAACAGACATGACTTTTATAATCAACATAAATTAGAAATGGATATAGCTTTTATTTTATTTTACTTTATTTTATTTTTTTGAGTTGGAGTCTCACTCTGTCACCCAGACTGGAGTGCAGTGGCTGCTCCCGGCCACTGCAGCCTTGACCTGCTGGGCTCCGGCGATCTTTCCACCTCAGCCTCCCAAGTAGCTGGAACTACAGACACGTGCTACCACGCCCGGCTAATTTTTTTGATTTATTGTAGAGATGAGGTCTCACCAAGTTGCCCAGGCGGGTCTCGAACCCGCGAGCTCAGGCAATCCACTCACCTCAGCCTCCCAAAGCGCTGGGATTACAGGCTGAGCCACTGAGCCCGGCTATGGATATAGCTTTTAAATACAGTTGATAAATAAAGGGTAACCTGTTATCATGGTACCTGTAGTTAGTTATATTTCAGTTCGCTTTCAAAGTCAGTACATTTTCTTGTTTTTTAAAGTCTCCAAACTTAGAAAACTTGTTTTCTTCCCTCTCACACCCCCATCTTGCTTAACTAGGAAAAGACATAAGATGTGTCTTACATTAATTTGTTCAATTTCAAGAAAATCATATACCATGAATTTCCATAGAAGACTAAATATTACCAAGATTCCTTGCTCTATTATTTCTGTTTGGCCTTTAAAAATAAACTGCATTGGGACATTTTAACATTTCATCTTTAAGAACAAGTGCAGACTGAATAAAGACATATCAACTTTCAGTCTTGTTACATACATACCTATTGTGGTGCCTTGGGAATGACCCACATAATACACTTGTTCTTGGCCAGTTTTATTCAGAATGAAGTTAATTGAAGCAGGTAGGTCATATTTTGCCATCTCGTCATAACTATAATCCAAAAAAGAAACTCTTTCATTGAAGTAGTATATAAAATACAACAGCACACAAATACTAAGTATGCAATTTAATGGGTTATAACAGTCTGAACACAGGTGGGTAAACCAGCACTGAGTTCAGGAAACTGAGCATTACTAGAACTACAAAAGCCCCTTCAGGCTCAGTAGCTAACTGTCATCCTAGTTTTTCACACCGTAAATTAGTCTCATTTATTTTTTAATTTTTCTATACATGGAATTGAAGACAGTATATTCTTCTATATCTGGCTTTATTCATGTTGCATACAGTTGTAGGCTTCTCATTCTCATTCAGTTATGTAAATATACCACATTTTATTAATCCATTCACTGCTGACATGTATCTGGGTAGTGTCCAATTTGCTGCTATTACAAATGGTATGACAAAAGCAATGTGGTTGTACTTGCTTTTTGGTAGAAGTCCTCTTCTTGTGTTTCACATCCTAGGGAGGCTCTAGTTTTACAAATGAGAGGCAAGCCTGGAGGTGGCCATGGTGGTCACCTTTTCTTTCTTTTTTTTTTCCACCCCCACCCCTCGGTGCTGACCTTTTCTACCACCTGGTAACAACACACAGCCCTGAACCCCGGCGTATGCATGAGTGCATGTATTTGCCATCAGGAGGCAGAGAAGCCAACTATTACCAAGCATGTCCAGTGTGCCAGGCTCTGTCGCTGTAGCCTCTCCTTGAAGACCCAGTGACCTCATGAGGTAGGTGTTTATTATTACCCATTTCACAAATGAGGAAACTGAGATACAGAGGGCTTAAGCAACATGTTCAATATCATACAGAGTTTAACAGGTAAGGCCAGTAAGAGAGAGAAGAGGAGAATTTTTGGAAAGAAACAAAGTGAACATTGGGAACACATGTATATGGAGGAAGGAGAAAGGTTAGGGGAACCACCAAAATAACTTAAAAATTCCTAACAGAATCCAATTCTTAATGTAATCACTTACTCATAATTTACCTTACTGCTAGTCATTAAATTCCTAGCGAGGTTTAAAACTGTTCAAGAGACATCAGCTTTCCCCTCCTACAATTTCTGTCACCCATCTGTCTACCTCTTCTGCTGAAATCCTGTGTGTCTGCTCTAAGGGAATGAAGGGAATGCACCCATGTCATAACCAATTTTAAAATACCTGAAAGCCCAGAATTCATCCTGAGAAACTGAAAGAGTCTTATGTTTCCGAGACCAGGTATTTCCCCTACTGTTGCCCATCCATACGTCAAAACCAGCATCAGCAAGAATGAAGCCCAGGCTGCTGTTGTCAAGGTTTGTGACCCAGTTACTGGAATCTGCCAGTAGACCATGCTGCAGATAGACAACGGGCTTGGGTCCTGAAAAACATTCATTGTTTAGAGGTGGTAGAACCAAGCTTCAAAACAAACATGATATCTTGCTAAACAGCACATTCCTAAAAGATTGCTAAGTAAATAATAAAATAGAAACAAATTAAAATATTGAGGTAGTAATGTACTCCTATAGAACATTAGGAAAGAATACTTTCTTTTTTAACAGTGCTGGCAAAGACCTGACTATGGAGTGATTCCAGGCTAACATGGTACATAGTAGCATGCTAGTAAGGGCAGTATATTGGATGCAACGCCCATAGGTAACCCTAAATTCGAGGTTCATCCAGGCAGTAGATGACTGGGGTTTTGGAGTCTGGGCTTCTGATGTGTGTGCTGCTTTGTATGTGCTTCTGATATGTGTGCTGCTTTGTAAGGAACAATGAAGATCTTTTCTATTCCATATTTTAAAAACTTGTGCTGAACATATTGATTACTATAGTTCAATATAATTACTTTCTCTTGTAATCTTTACTGCAATATTTACTTTTTATTGGGGTATTATTTAAACAAAATAAAATGTATGTATGAATTTTTTTAAAAATAGTGCTGGCAAGGTAGTAGCGAAACTGGATTTTTCCTGCACGTCCAGTAACAAGACACACTGACTTAACCAGCAATTTTTAAAAATTGAGATTTTTTTTTTAAGAACTTACTCCAGTAATTACATTCCTCACAGTGATTCCTAACAAAAGAAGGAAAAAGATCACAAAAAACGAGATACAACTGCACACCTATTAGAGTAGCCAACATCCAAAAGCAATGACAACATCAACTGCTAACAAGGATGTGGAGCCACAGGAACTCTCATTCATTGCTGGTGCAAATGCAAAAAGGTGGCACCACCTTGGAAAACAGTTAGGCAGTTTCTTACAACACTAAATATATTATTACCACACAGTCCAATAATCGTGCTCCTTGGTAATTTTACCCAAAGGAGCTGAAAACTTAAGTCAACAGAAAAACCTACATATGGATGTCTATAATAAGTAGCTTTATTTATAATTACCAAAATTTAGAAGCAACCAAGACATCCTCCAGTAAATGAATGGATAATGAGACTGTGGTACATCCAGACAATGGGGTGTTATTTAGCCCTAAAAGGAAATCAGCTATCAACCCACAAAAGGACATGGAGGAAGCTTAACTGCATTTTCATAAGTAAAATGCCTGTAATCCCAGCACTTTGGGAGGTCAAGGCGAGTGGATTGTCTGAGCCCGTGGGTTCGAGACCAGCCTGGGCAACTTTGGCGAGCTCTTGTCTCTACAATAAAATTTTTAAAAAATAGCCGGGCATGGTAGCGCACATCTGTAGTTTTGGCTACTTGGAAGGCTGAGGCAGAAGCCCAGCAGGTTGACTCAGGAGTGGCTGTGAGCGTGCGTGCCACTACACTCCAGCTAGGGTGAAGGAGTGAGACTCCAACTCAAAAAAAAAGAAAAAGTCGATCTGAAAAGGCTGAGTTCTATGACATTCTGGAAAAAGCAAAACTACAGAGACGGTAAAAAGATCAGTGGTTGCCAGGTATTGGGAGAAAGGAAGGGATTAAGTGGCAGAGCACAGAGGATATTTAGGGCAATAAAATCTGTATGATACTATAGTGGTAGATTCACATCATTGTATATTTGTCCAGAACTACAGAAAGCACAACACCACGAGTAAACCCTAATGTAAACTATGGACTTTGAGTGACAAGGATGTGTCCATGTAGGTTCCACTGGTGGGGAATAATGACAGTGAGGAGAGGTTATGCATGTGTGGGAACAGAGTATATGGAAAACCTCCATACCTTCTGTTCAATTTTGCTATGAACCTAAAACTGCTCTAAAAAATTAGTCTAATGAAAAAATTTCAAGTTCAATAAGAACAGTCACACACATACAAATTCACAAATATATGTGTCTGTATCTGCCTGTGTGTGTAAATGTATTTTCTACTCCCTGTGCCTGAGACAGTGATATAGAAGAAAAAACAAAGACTTTGGAGTCAAAGAAACCTGAATCTGATTACATAATGTAGATACCACTGTTATTCATTAAACAAGCTTTTAAGAGCACCGACTATGTGCCAAGCACCAACTATGTGCCAGCACTGGGAACTTGGCAAAGAACAAAAACGGGGGGAGGAACTTCTTCATGGAGTTGACATTATACTGACCATGAGTTTTAGATGTTTCAGACAAACCTGGTCAACTCTATCCTCCCCATGATCTGAGATGACACCTTGGGGAAGGTATCTCAGCATTTCCTGGAATTAATATCATTCTCTGAAGAGTGGAGATGACAATATGTATATTATAGGATGAGTGAGATATGAGAGACTGCATGGAAAAGTTCTTAGCAAAGCATCTGATACACAGTGAGAGTTCAATATATATCAGCTCACAGTATTAAGTAATTTAACCAATCGAGTCTTAGTTCTATGAATAATTGTTAAGAGGAATAAATGAATGATATAATTCAGTGTCTAGCACAGTGACTGGCACAGGTCAATGTGAACAAGTAAGAGCTCCCTCTGCCTTCTGTCCATCCTTTATAACAGCAAACCACAGGAAGCTAAGTGTCAAGTGGTCAAGTCATGAATTGCAATCCACTTGGTGCAATAATTAAGCTGTCAATCATGACAAGGACTGTGATTGCACAGAAAGGCTGCAATTATAGCTTTTGCAAAAAAACCAAAATAAAAAAATTTAGATTATTCTAGACTAATGCTATGCAAAAATGATGTGCGCCAGTGAAAAGTGGAAAATATCAAGGAAAAATGGGAAGAGTGATTTGTCGGAAGATGAGACTAGAATCGAACTGACAAATGCATATCTTCGCTAATGCCCCAGAGATCTGGTGACTGACAAACTGTCTTTAAATGACAGTTCCTCTGATGCAAAATGGCCTCTGCAGATAGCTCCAGGAGACACTGTTCACATTCCTGACAATGTGAATGATATGCCCTGAAGCTGTGCAATATGGGAGCACTGCTCTTCTCCTGTTGTTAAAACAAAGGGACCCCAGGTCAAGTCCAAAATAACTCCTACACAAAGTCATAACCCTCTGCAATGCCTGGGCCACCTAGGTGTCTTTCTGTGGGGAGAAAACTGAAAGCAAATAGGACAAGCTATGAACAGAACAGAAAGTAAATAGGGCTGCTTTATATGTTCACCTTTGCCTTCAAAAGTCCATTTTAATGCAATACTAACAAGACTAAATTTACTATGAGAGTTCTATGTACAAGGCACTGTGGTAGATACAGCAGGTTGGGCACAGGCTTTCTGTCTTCAGTGAAGATCATAATCTAGCTGGGAAGATAGGAAAAATAAACACAGAAAGTTTGAAATTATAAGCTACCGTGTAAGGGAAAATAATAATTATCTAAATTAATTTATCCTCAAATTATAGTGAAAAAGTATGTTTTCAATAATAGTTCCTCCAAAACAGGGTTGCCTTCAGGGACAACTACTGGAATACCATCGGCTGGTAGTAACTGTTCAATGCTGTTTGAATGGTACCCAGATGTCCTACGACGTGGCGGCTCTACTTCATTGATGGTACATGATATTTTCTAGAAAGAGGGGTTTCCCTACTCATGCCACAGTTCCTTCGGCATGTTAAGACCCCTTCACCCATCAAAGGTGCTTTGGGGCTGGGCCACGAGGAATGTGGCTTGAAGGACATTCCTCATGGCCCAGGTCATGAGGTCAAGAGGCCTCAGGTCATCTCTAACACAAAGTTCTGCAGTCATCTTCCCTCTGGGTGCAGAGTTAGAGTGAGCAGAAGGAAAGCCTGTTGGTAGCCAAATTCCTTGGCGCTTGCTCCAGTCTGTGCCTCTGTAGTTAACCCTTACTAAAAAACCTAAGGCTGCTGAGTCAACTTCTCAGAGGAGGGTGCCCAGAAAGGCAGCAAGGGCTTGAAACTGTAGGAGGCCCTGGGGCAGGGATAACTGAGAGAGGAAGAGGAGGAGAAGGAGGGAAATGTGTGGGCCAGGCCAGGACAGAGGCTAGAAGGGGAGGTTTGGGCCAGCGCAAGGGGACCAGTTTCAGTTCCCTGCCTTTTCTAGACCGGGAATGTTTAAAGTTTCCCTGAAGTCTTTGTACTTCCCTCTCTAACCTCCCAGGAACTTCAAAGGAGAAATGTGGGCATTGAGAAGTTGAAGATGTGCCAGGAAAGTCTCTAAACAACACCAATAAATAACTCCTGGGTTCCCACGGGCAATAGGAGCTGCTATAGAGTCCCCAGGAGGCGAGTGGGGAGGCGAGTGGGAAGTCGAGGAACTGCATGTGGCCAACTCAAGCGTGTGCCAGCTGAATGACATGGCCTAAGGCGGCAGAGAGGCTTCTAAAACATGTCATTAGCCCTAGTGCTGCCCAGACCCATCATTCACTCCTGCTGCAGCTTCTCTCAGGGACTCACTTTATCCCTTAAAGGGGCTTCTCTAAGCATCCCGAGGCTCCTCCCTCTGCCTCCACGGGAGGGTTTCCCAGAGCATTAGATTTCTATGGATCTGGCTTTGCCCAAAATCACCACTACTGTAATCTAGGTTCTCAAGAATCCATGTTTAACAGAAAAGGAAACAAAGAAAATGACAATTTCGTTACACTGAAATAAACGACTGGCACGAAAGAGTTATCTGTGGTTATTCATTATCTCCAACTCTATGTCACAAACAGCTGGGCACAAAGCAGGAGCGACCACTCAGGGGTAAAGAGAACACAGACACAGACACCCAAACAGACCTGCTGGGGTGGATCCCAGATGACAGTAAAGCCCTCTGGTGAGGCGGAGGGGGACAGGAGCCGGGTAAACAAAACTGTGACTTGCTAAGACATCTGGGATAGGGAACGAACATATCAAAGCCACTTTTTTTTTAAATTCCCCATCTTGTTTGTTTGGGTTCTCCCAGCCCTCAATTCAAGCTGAGCACAAAAGCTCAGTGAACAACAGACACAAAAGATGCATTAGATGGGAGGGAAACAGTGAACCTATTGTTTCTACCCTAG